CTCTCTCTCTCTCTCTCTCTCTCTCTCTCTCTCTCTCTCTCTCTCTCTCTCTCTCTCTCTCTCTCTCCCTCCCTCCCTCCCTCCCTCCCTCCCTCGTCTTCTTCACCCACGTCATCCTCCTCATGCACGAAGACCACCACCACCTCCACTGGCTATCCAAGTCAAGCCCTGGCTACGTAGGGCTGGCTATGGCTCTGCCTTCAGCAGCGCCCTGCCTTCTTCCTCGACGCCCGCGCGCACCCGGCATCCGCTAGCGCACAGCAAGCAGCCCGCGAGCGCACGCTCCAGCAGCGCTGCCACTTGCACAAGCCAGTGCCCGAATGCCTCGCCTGGTGCCCAGCCCTTTCCTATATGGAAAGTGGCGGGTGCATTACCACTTGCTTGCCCCGTGAGACCAAGTTTCCAGTAGCGCCCAGGCCCGTTCAGACAGTGGTGGTCAGGGACCGAATTGGTTAGGCATGCCCAACCACCCAGGTACAAACGTGTGGTGTTCCCTGCTTCGTCCACGTTGCTGGAAGAGCTTGGAAGCCTCACAAAAATTTCCGATTCTCACGAGCAAGGCGGATGTAACCAACTGGCGCGTGGAAACTGACTGACGCCAACCAAAATGCGCAAAAATTGACGAGTTCAGGGCACATTGAGATTCAGGGGGCCCGCCTTCACTTAGGGCGGGCACGCGCCTGTTGCACGGCCTTATGCCGGTCTGCCGAGGGGTAGGCTTGGGCACAAGCATCGGCTTGTGCTCAACAATGTCATCAATGTCTGCATGTCCGTCAATGGTTGGGGGCACCATTGATCGCCTGGATGGAAACTGTTCTGTTTCAGCAAAAGGTGCCACGGTGACCTTGGAAGCATGAAAAACAGGGTGTGTGCGAAGGTGACCAGGGATGCGAATGACATATGATGGATCATCCGGTCGATCTCCTACTATATCTAAAACTCCCCAGGGTCCAAAGTATCGTGGCATCAGTTTACGTGAGATTCCCAACTCCTGTCCCGACTCAGATGACTTTACCCAGCCTCGTTCACCTACCTGAAATGCAGACGGCCGTCTGTGTCTGTTCTCAGATGCAACCATGGCCTCCTGAGCTTTCTTGATATGCTCGACAGCCTGCTGCAGCATCTGTCCGTACCTGACAGCGAACTCTATGCTGCCTGGTGCAGCAGTTGCCAGATTTTCAGGCAACAGGAAGTCAGGAGCACATCTGGGCTTCCAACCAAGATGCAGCTGGTTGGGAGTCATACCGGTAGTGCTGTGCCGATACATGCTCGGTTGGGCAATGTACATGGAGCCAAGGATCCGCAATGTGATGAAAAGGACTGAATGGACATTGCAATGTCAGTGAAACATCAACAGGCAATGAACATCCTGATACATACAAAATGGCACAAAGTAGTGCAGTGGAAGACTTAAGGATAAGTCCTGACCTGACCGGGACTGACGCGACATCCCATCATACCACACGTGAGGGAGGAGGAGGGACCGCACACATGGAAGAAAGGTCCCTCCTTTGTACACACACATCAGGAGATACCACAGATGAGAGATGGGGGGGAGAGGCGAGACGAAGATGAAGGCGAGGGAGAAGACCGAGATCGCAATAGCGGAGTCCAAAAATAGTCCTTTGTCGATGCCCAATCAATGTCTGCCTCAAAAATGTTGGATCAGATCCTGGGCGCTCTGCCCACAGTAACCTCTGTCTGTATCCTCTGCCTGTAAACCTCTCTCTCTCTCTCGTATCTGATGAAGAAGAAGAGGAGAAGAAGAAAGAAGAAGGAGGAAGAAGAAGAAGAAGGAGGAGGAGGAAGGGAGGGAGGCTGACGAAGAAGAAGATGTCGCCTCCCTTGCTGCCTCACCTGCAGGTGCTAACGCCGAACTGACCGCCGTTTTGTGTCGTCGTGTGCAGGTTGCATGTGCACGGGGAGTCCCAGCTATGGAGCCAGGTAAGTCCCCTTCGTCGCAGCTATGGCCTCCGCCCCTCTGCCTTCTGGTGCTCAGCCTCCAACTCAGTAGCGCAGTGCTAAACAGCGCAGCGCTGAACCAGCAGCGTGTCGCTCAAGAAGTGAGCTACTCGCCCAGCTATATGTAGCGCTGGGCCTGGCTGGGCGTGCCTCTGAGGCTGGCCTAAAACGGCCCACCCGGTCTGGGCCCCTACCGGGTATCCAGACTGTGCTGCTGATGCAGCAAGGTGCCTAAATGCGCCTGGCCTGAAAACAGCCTCGCCGGCAGTGCACCCAGCCCAAGGCCGTGCCTTGGGGACTGCAAGTCCGAAGCGACATCTGAACAGACAAAATAGGACAGCACATTCAAATAAATAAATAAATGCTGCCTCAGGCTGTACCTGCGGCCTAAAAGGCTGCTGTGGGCCTCCTGGCCCCTGGGCGCGTGCTGGATGGGGCGCGGCCTGGGGGCCCCTCAGCAACTCTCGGGCCCCTCAAATGAGGCCCGTGTGCAGGCGCAGCATGTAACATGTGCACAGCATCGTTGTACAGGTTGGTGATGAGAGGTAACTTCTCATCCCAATCGTCTTGACTTGGCTTAATATAATGCCGAAGCAATTGCTGCACTACCCAGTTCATCTGCTCAGCCTGGTCATTTGACTCAGGGTGGTTCCCTGGTGTCATTTGCAGTCGGGTGCCCATCTGTTGAGCTGTACTTTGCCACAGTTTGCTAGTGAATCTGACATCCCTGTCACTAACGATGGACTTCGGGAGACCAAAGTCACGTACCCAGTTGTCCATAAACAGCTTGATGACGTGGTCAGTTCTAGTTGTGTCATGCATAGCGATTAGTCTATCATACTTACTGAATATGTCCACAATGACGAAGATGTGTTGTTTACCACTCTTGCTGGTAACAAGGGTATCCATGAAATCCATGGACACACTCTGACCTGGACCAGCAGGGACAGGCAAGGGCTTAATAAGCCCACGCGGTGCCTGCGTCCGTGGCTTGTCACACTGGCAAACCTGGCAGATCTCTACATATCTCTTTGCATCATCCATCATTGTGGGCCACCAAAAACGCTGCACTAAGTTTGCTGCTGTCTTTTTGTAACCGAAACGTCCAGTTGCGTCTTGGCATTCACCTGAAAATAAACTGCGCAAAGACTATTGTGAGGCCACAGCCTCGATGAGCCCCTTCCAGGCCCTGTCAAGCAGCACATCGGCCGCCCTAAGTGAAGGCAGGCTCGACGAGGACCTGAGGGCCCCTATTTCGGCCACAACGCAACTAAGGAAATTCAGGCAGTTGCGCAGCGCCAGTTGGTTGAAAGAACCCAGGCCCTGGGCCGCCTGTTTGCATGTATTGAAGGCAGGCCCTGGGCTGGATACGGAATGTGGGCCAAACATAGGCCGAAGGCAGTTGGGCGCAAGCAACCACCTCAACCCCTGGGCCTGATTTGTTTCGGACTGGGCCTCAGCCTACCGGGGCCTACCGGAAGCTTTTTGGGAAAGGCCCAGCGCAACCTGGGACAGAACGCAGGCAGGCCACTTCCATATAGTAAAGGGCCTGCCTCCGCATGTGGCATTCGGGTGCTGGCTGCATGTTGCGCTGAAGCTGGCCAGTGCTCACGCGCTCACGGGCGAGCTGGAAGGAGCAGGCAGCCATAGCCGAGCTGCGCTGCTGTGAGTTGGGTGTGGCGCAGGGTGGTCCTTGGGTGCATGTGGCATCTGTGTGTTGGGGAACGAGGTTGTGAGTGATGCGAGAGACATACCTGGTGCTGGAAGCGAGCGGCATCGACCGCTATCTACTCGTACTTTGAGAGAGTTGTTGTTGTCATCTTCGGCATTGTAGTCTAGGCTAGATAGGATCTGCCATCTGTAGTCTGGGCGCCGAGCGCCAGATAGGATATCAACATTGGTTCTTCATTGATGATGATGATGAGACTATTCCAACTCATATGATGAGACTATTCCAGCATTGTCAATTATGAGTTTTTGGTGTACTCTTATTTGGTGAAACTCGTGATGCAATTCTGCTATTGGTTCGAGGTCAAGACTATCTGGTCTTATGTGTATGATGCTGTTTAATTGCTGAAATTCGCTATTGCTCATCTTCCTTGTACTATCTATTCGGAACACATAAACGTTTATTCCCAGCCTTCTTAAGGAACAGCAAGTCGTCAACCAGCTCAAACTCATTGGAATTAGCCTTGTCTTTAGCTTCCAGTTTGCGAATGATCTCAGACATGACTGCGTTCTCTTGATAGGCTTCCTCCATAGATCGACTTACGTCGTCATAAATTCCAAACTCGGTCTCTAGTGCACCCAGATAATCCGCCCTACGCGATAGTGCATCAGCCACTTTGTTGTGCTTTCCTTTCAGAGGGTCGAGCTTGAAATCATACATATCTATGACTTCAATCCACCTCTTGAGTGCATCGGAGAGCACAGATTGTCTTAATCCAGCACAACGTCTTATGGTCAGATCTCACATAAAAGAATTTGCCTAGGAGGTAGTGTCTCCAATGGACCAGCGCTCTATAGAGGGCATAGAGCTGTTGCTTGTACGTGGACTTAGCCATTTTTTTAGATGCCATCTTTTTGCTCATGTACTCAATCGGCCTCAACTTGTTCCCCTCCTTTTGCGCAAGGACAACGCCTATGCCATATTGTTTGGCGTTTGTGGTTACTACAAAGCGTTGTTCAGGATCCAGAAGTTTGAGGACTTTGTAGTGTGTAAGGGCATACTTCAATCTCTTGAAGGCAGCCCCACACTCTTCGGTCCACTCCCATGGGGTGTCAAGGCGTGTGACGTCAGTTAGAGGGGAGACTATAGTACTATAATTCTTTACAAACGGATGGTAGTAGCTCGTCATCCCCCAAAATGACCTCATCTCAGTCACAGACTGAGGTCTGGGCCAGTCACGTATGATGGCCACTTTGGCATCATCCGGCCTCAATCCATCCGCAAAAATCTCATGACCCAGATACAAGATCTTTGCGCGACCAAACTCGCATTTCTCCAAGTTAGCCTTGTACTGGTGTTGTCTTGGGAGCCCTAACACTGTTTTTTCTCATGCTCAGCGTGCTCCTCTATAGTCTTACTAAAGATAAGGATAGCGTCGAGGTACACGATGATAAACTTGTCCATGTAGTCTGAAAGATACGGTTCATTGCGTGCTGGAACGTCCTAGGATCATTGCATAGGCCAAAGGCCATTACCACAAACTCGTACAGACTGTACCTGGTCTGAAAAGTGGTTTTGTGCTGGTCCTCAGGTCTAATAGCAATTTGATGGTATCCGGACTTCAGATCTATCTTTGAGAAGTATCGACATCCCTGCACTCTATCAAGAGGTTGTGGATGTGTGGCAGGGGCTCTGCGTTCTTGACAGTGATGGCATTGAGGCCCCTGTAGTCAATGCACATTCTTAGTGTCCCCCCTTTCTTTGGAACACATAGGATTGGTGCTCCGTAGGGGAACGTACTTGGCTGAATCCAGCCCTTCTCTGTGAGCTCCTTGAGCTGGCGGCCGAGCTCGTCTAATTTTGCAGAAGACACATCCTATAGATCCGTTCTCTAGGTACCTTGCTACTGGGGACGACTTCAATCGCGTGGACAATCTTCCTTTCTACCACACCGCTAGGCTCCTCAAAGAGGTCTGAATATTGCGCAACGACTGCTTCTATCTTCGGGGTTGATTTTACGGCTTCCCCTTTCTCAAAGACAAAGACTAGGTATATACCTTCCTCATGATTCTGCTTATAAGAGTTATAGAAAGCGCACATGCACTCATAGTTCTCCACTAGTCTGCTAGCCTTGAACTTCTGCAGCCTAACGGTCCTTCCATCTAGCAACTTGTGGATCATCACCTTCCTTCCCAATCGAATTGAGGCTTAGCAACCTCGAGGTAGTACATGCCTAGCAACATGTCAAATGGCATCTCGTCGCTCACTAGGAACGAGATCTTGTGCCTCTATTCCCCTCATCCATAGAAGAAGGTACAAACTACGTCCTTGACATAGTCCTTCACTATCGCGGAGTGCTTGTTGGCTAAGGTAGATGTTACAGATCTGCTAAGTCGTTGCTCTTGGTCCCCTAAGCGCATCCTATCCACACAAGCACGACTGATGAAGTTTCACGTAGAACCTATGTTTGCGAAGGCGCCAACCTTTCGCCACCTACATTGACTTCTATCACGAAATGTTCACCGTTTGGACCTTTGTTCAATATGGCCCCGTAGTCTCTAGGATCTTTCTCTAACCACTCAGTCGCTAACTCCTCTAAGGACTCAGACACATCCATCAAACAAAGCATCGATTGGTCCGGATCTGTCCAGGGGCTATCAAAGGGTCAATAGCCTTGGCCATCGTCTGAAATCGAGAAGGTAAGGTGACCACTTGAGCATGAGTAAGAGCGGCTAACGCTCCTAATGGCCCAAGGTGTTTCCCTGGGAAGCGCTCACAGAAGCACCACCAGAGTTCGAAGATCCGACAAGCACCATAAAGGATGCTACCTTCCCGATGACTCGCTTACTCTTGCAGTTCTCATTGTGTGCCCATACTCGCCACAATTAAGGCACGCGCCTCGTGAAACATGGTCATGCCAAACCGTGTACTCTAGACCAAGCTTCACCCATATGGGTGGTCCTTGGTCACTTTAACCCTTGGGCCGACCTACCTTCTGTTTCCCGGCCCCCATTAGCCTTTTCCCTAATGGGCGCGGCTACTTCACCATTTGAAGTCTCCCCACTCCCATCTATCTTTGTTTCTTCCCCAAGGTCGGAGAAGTCGCCAATCTCAGTCGCTTAGCCGTCATGGTCAACGAACATAAGATTGCCCTTCTTCCTCCAATCCTGAGGGAGCTTCTTCCTCCCATCTACTGCTCCCTGCTGGGCACTCCCAAGCTTAGTCTCTATGTCCAGGGCTTTCTTGTTGAATGAGGTGAAGTTAGGCACATCTATGGAGGCCTCATCGACCAACTTATTTTGACATTTGTGGGCAGACATCGTAAATAAGTTGTGAGGAGTACCTGTGGTTCGTACCGCATGTCAGGATCAACAATCAGTCGCTCTACGTCATTTGTCACCTCGCGAACTGTCCGGTATCTCTTCGATCCCAGACTTGCTAGCGAGTCGATGGCCTTTTGAGCCCCTTAAGGGTCATGCTACCTGTTGTAAACCATCCGTACAAACTCCTCCAAATGTCCGGGCATGTGCCCAACCATCGAAGTTCTGACCGTATTCGTGCTGCTGTACTATTCCATTCAACCATCCGGCTGCAGATCCATCTATGCAGCAACAATAACCTCTCCCTTGGTCCTTGTGAGCTTGTGCCTTACATACGTAGGCACAGTCCTCACCCAGGTATCAAGGTCCTCTTCCTTCTTCTTGTTGTTAGAGAAAGGTTTAGGACTCAGCAAAGGTATCTTAGGTGTCCACTGCATGGACTGTACAACACCCTGTGCCTACTGCATCAGTTGCGAAACCGGTGGAACAGGCCGCTGCGGCGGCACGTGCTGTTGCAGCGGTAACTGTTGCAAAGGTTGCTGGACATGAGGCTGCCCTGTAGCGGCAGCCGCTGAATGGGGAAGTGAAGACGGTACGGGAATCTGCCCACTACTACCTGTTGCTAAACAACGTGGTGGAGGTATGCCATATTGAGGGGAAAAGGATGGTCCCACCGGCGGCAGCGCAGCAGAGGACCTGTGACCATAGGGGGAGCTACAGCAACGTGCAGTGGCCTCACCATCGGTCGAGGCGCCTGCACCGCAGCTAGAATCTTGTTCTGGCCGGCTACTAGTTCAGCAAACAATTCCTGTTGCACGGCCTGTGCTTCGGCCACACTCAACAAGGAGTTCTGAAGGATCCTGACAACAGGGTCAATGGTTGAATCATCTACAACCTTTGGTCTGCTAAGCTCCTGCATCCTTGCCCCTAGTCTAGCTTTTTTTTTTTTTTTTTTTTTTTTTTTTTTAAATACAGGTCCTTATGGCCCCGGCTCCATTTCCATTCTGGGGAGCATCAGTCCGGTTCCTATTCCACCGGCAAGTCAGGATAAAACATTACATCATGAAACCCACTCAAGCTTCCTTCCGTCCGACCGAAGGATCCCTGACCATCATTGAATACTCCAACATTGTGGAGGATTGACTGTCAGCTTGCCTTACTTCCTCCTTCCCTCTCAAGTCAACTGCATGGGTCCGAACTGGTGGGATTGTTTTTTTGACGTCTTATATGTAACCATTGATTCACAGGCAGTGCTGCATACGTAATGAGCCACTGAAGGCTCCTGATTTTTATGGGTCTGGTAGTCTTAAATTTCTTCCACGGGATCTATGTAATTTTATCGGCTTCCTGGCCTACTAGTTTCTGCCATCTGTTTTTGATTATAGGATCTGGGTCTTTTGTTTTAACTAGGAGTTTGTAGCCGAATTTAATTGTATAGTCGTATATGGGGACGTTGGACTTGACATTCCTCTCCCTGTCCGGTGTCCAGGCCCATTTTGTCGGGTCAAATTCCAGGTTCTGGACTTACGTGTCTGGTCTGAAGATTGATTTAGGCCACGACCCTAGTACTCTTACCTTCCTAAGTAGAAAGAAGTCCATGACTACCGATTCCACCTTTCTGTTTAATATAGATGCTATTCCATGTTTGGAAAGGGAGATCGGGAAGGAGGAGAATTGAATGTGGTGGTCGAACCCGGTTGCATGTGGGAGAATTGAAAGGCTCGTGAGGGAGGGGACTCTTGCACCTTAACCCCCCACTCTCCAGATTTCCACAACGACTTCACACAAGATATCTTTCCAGTTTTGAGGGATGAGGTTAATAATGCATTGGAGGTTAGATCCACGCCTATGACATCCCTTCAACTGCGTGCTCAGCTCCTGTTTGGTTACCCACTCTTTCCTTTCTTCACTCCATAGGTGACTTACTTTCCGTACCCCATTCTTGACCCATGATAGCCATCTGTGATGTAAATGCAAGGGATTATTGCCTTCGTTTGTCACCCATTGGTTGCCGAACAGCGGTTGTCTCAGAACCTCGTCTTTGGACCTTGGTCTATTAGTCTTCTTTGGCAGAATTTCTCTCCACATCCGAATCAGAGCTGTCCAGTATGGGTTGGGACGAGTGGCTTCCTCAGCTCTAGTTCCTCGTCTTGGGGCTCCATTCCTTAGTCATTACCCAGAACAGACCCGTCATGTTTTCTGGTAAGGCCACTGGCGCCAACGCTCTAATGCTATCTAAAGCTACTTTGTTCCATGCGTTGTCAGGCTTCATCAGAAGCTTGATTATCCATTTAGCTTGGATGGCCCTTGTTTCCTGTCTAGGGTCTATAATCCCTAGACCCCCATACAACGGTTTTCTCGTGATATACTTCCAGGCAATCTTAGGAATACAACCCTCTTTGTTGGGGTTCCCCGTCCATAAATAGGACCTTGCTCTGCGGTTAAGTTCCTTAATCGAGCTATCCGGTATTGTCCAGATTGAGGCTATATACCACATCATAGAGAACACTGATGTCTTGATAACTAGG